GCGATTCTTGCATTTTAAAAATGAATCAGGGCTGAACAATAAGTGCATCTTGCAGTGGGCTTGAAATGGGGAGTCAAAACAAGAATAGGAGGGCAATTTTTGGCAACAGTAGGAACATACCCAGTCGGTCCTGCTGTTAAAGATTCAGCTAACCTGGTGTCAGGCCTCAGGCTACTGTGAGCTCTACTTCACATACCTATCCCATCCATCCTGTCTATAATATTTTTCCTTCCCAAAGTGTACAGTCCTTCTGTTTCCAGGGCCGTGTGGTGTTTTAAACCAAATTGATTTATGTCCCTTGTAGAAACTGCACTAGTTGTCTGCAGATTTTTAGTGAACTCTACATTTTTGAGCTTAGAATATTTGTGAATATTCCTCATTGAATTACTGTGATAAGGTTAAGAGTAAATGTGCTGTACATTGTACTAGTGCCTTTGTTCTCATTGAGCAGATAATCTCTGCAAGTCATATTCTCATTTGGTCTTTCTTTAGAAATTCAGAACTTGGTTTTCTCCCAGATATTGTTTACTATGGCCCATGGAAACATAGTAAAAACAAAGTTGCTATTGTTTAATCTCAATACTGGTTAGCTTAGTTTGTGTTATCCTACAGCAGTCTCCTCCTGAGCTGCTTTAATCTGCCCTAGTTATTAGTTAAATATTATTTGCTTTACACTAAAGATTTTAACTACACCACTTTTCTCCAAAAGGTTTGATTGTTATGGTGGACTTTCCAAGATAAATACTCCTTTACTGACACCTCTCAAGCTGTCCTTGGATGACTGGAGCATAAAGCCAGCCAATGAAATCTATGGACTGTTTGCTGTAGTCATGCACAGTGGAATTACAATCAGCAGTGGGCACTATACAGCCTCAGTTAAAATTGCAAATCTTGACAGTTTAGAATTAAACAAGGAGAATTTCATCATTGATCCACCATGTGAAATTATTCACTCGGAGCCACTGAATGAGCAAGAAGCAAGAACAGTAACTGAGGACTATGATGATGGTGAGGTCTCCTTTAGAGTCAGTGGTAATACACGGCCTAATAAAGGAATAAACAAAAAGAATATAGAAGCTGTGGGACTTCTTGGGGGACAAAAAAGCAAGTCAACCTGTGACTTGCTAAGCAGCAAAACAACCCATTCTGGTAAGACAGCTAACATGGTCACAGAAGCCAGGAATGCTGAGTGGAACCATGCTAATGGACCTGTGGAGGTTGAACACCATGATCAAACTGGCATGGTTTTGAACGGACTAGAAAGCAAAGCAGTGCATATAATGCAAAGTCTGAAAGAATATGAGGGGAAGTGGCTGCTCTTTGATGATTCTGAAGTGAAGGTTACTGAAGAAAAGGACTTTCTAAACTTATTATCTCCTGTTTCATCATCTACATCCACTCCTTATCTGCTTTTCTATAAGAGAATTGTAGACTGAGGATGTTTTGACAGTGTAAGTACTAGTTTTTTATCAGATGTATGCAGAAAGAATCCTTAGCAGGAGGAACTACAGATATAAATTAACCTTTGTACATGGTACTATGCATTATTTTAAAATGTGGATAATTCACTTTGTAGTTTCTGTAAGGAAGATTACAGATTAATTTTTAGCAATACAAACCTGTATAAAGGCTATTGAAGAAACAGCTATTGCAATTCCATCGTACTATTTGTATATTAGCTTTTCAAAAATGTATTTGTAATAACTCTAGAATAATATTTGTAGTTGCTATTAAAAAGTCAACCTGCTTTTTGTAAATAAACACTTATTCAAGCCTAATGTGAATTGAGTACTGTCTAGGGAAACTACTCAAGCTGCTGAAAAGCAGTGTCCATTTTCTGTAGATCTATTTATCCAACAAATGAAAAATTCGCCTGGGAGTTTGATTTGGAGCTGAAAAACAATAAGGATTAAAGGTGATCCATCTGCCAAGACTTGCAGCCTATTTAAAAATACTGGCTTCAAAATAAAGGAAGGAGGGACACAAAGTTCCATGTGCTGTGGCACTCCTAGCCAGTCCTTGGCTCAAGTTAGAGCCATGTCCTTGCCCCACTTGGAACTATAAAGCTGTTCTTGTGTATGAAATATTACAGAAAAGGTAAAAGTACTTTGGAAACAGACTTCATTCTTTGACTTATCCAGGAGTTCCTTCTTTACTCATCTACTGGAATAACTGGTGTGGCTCAACCTGCATCTCTTGTACAGTATTAAGTATTTCTTTCTACCATGCTTGGAAATCATTACCAGAATAGCTGTGTTCTGCTTTTGGATAGTCCTAATAATAGCACTCACTATTTCATATTACATGGTAACCACAAGACTTTATTGAATGTGTAAGTTGTCCTTCCTGTGGCAAGTAAGTATTGTGTTCCCTCGAAGCTGAGTTAGTGTGAGCTAGCTAACAGTTTTTTTAGCCTCCGGCTCACACATTTTTGTCTTAGCTCAGGAGGGATGGCTCCAGAGCAAACTAATTTATACAGTAGCCAAATCACTTGCTCACAACTTTAATGCCAGTAGCTCAGAAAGTAGAATTTTTGCTCACAAGTAGTGTTCCCTCTAAGCTGAGTTAGTGTGAGCTAGCTCAGTTTTTTAGCCTCCAGCTCGCAGATTTTTGTCTTTGCTCAGAAAGGATAGCTCCAGAGCAAACTAATTTATGCAGCAGACAAATCACACGCTCACAACTTTAATGCTATTGGCTCACAAAGCAGAATTTTTGCTCACAAGACTCAATAGCTTGGAGGGAACATTGCTCACAAGACTCCACAGCTTAGAGGGAACAAGGGGTATGCAGATAAAATAATTGTTTTAATTCTGTATTGGGAAGTCAGGAAACACTAGGACTGTTTTAGGTAAATATCAGGTGTACTGTCATTCTGGAAAGATGTTTGAGAAATACTGGAACTAGTCCTCATAGTTAATAAAAACAATCATGCCTTTCCCCACTTCCCTATTTGGAATTAAAAGGAAAGGGTAGAGTACAGAAAACTGATTGTCAGTACCCTGGCCTGTTAAAGAGTGAAGGCACAAAAATATCAGCTGATGGCCATTAGACCTAGTCTCTACTAGCCACTAAAAGGTCCAAATTGGCCTTAGACTTATCTGGCCTGCAGTGGATCTTGACTCTGGTTGTGAGGCTTGGGGCTATGCAACCAACTGCCAGGTATCCTGTTGTTGGGGGCAGGTTCTGCTGCCTCTAGTGGGAGAACGGTAGCTGGGCAGGCAGGCTTTTGGATCTACCATCTCCGATGCCAGCAGTAGCAAAGTCTGCCCTGACAATGGCAAGTAGCTGGGTGGCTAGGCTAGCTGGTAGGTTGTTATTCTGCTGCTTTAGATGCCAGCAGTCTCAGAGCCCACCCCAACAGGAAAGAAATGGTGGCCGGGTGGAATAGCTAAGCCTGAGAGCCTGGGAGCTCACTCACTAGAGCAGCTCTAAAGCTGCCAGTGGTGTCAGAAGCCCACTGCAAGCCAGGGCCAACTGGGACCTTTTCTTAAGGCTGGTAGCCTCTAGAGGTCTGGGCTATTGCCCATAGGAAATAATGGCTGGTACAGCTGGCCTCCAGAAGCCAGGTCTATCAGGCACCTTGACCCCTTAAATTTTAAAGTGCCATTATTTCCTATGAGAAAACAATGACCCTTTAAAATTTAAAGGGCAGAGGCTCCCAACTATCAGCTGTAAGGTGTGCCTTCCTAACTACTCCTGTCCTCCCTGACACCACTCCCAATTCCCTAATATCAGGAATAATAACATCAGACTTGGAAATCATGTCAAGGAGATAGCAGCAGTGTCGGATATTACCGACCCAGTACCCTGATTGGCAATATTCAATAATCAGCTTGATTATAGTAGTATATCACAACGAAAATTCCTCTCTGGGAGGGAATCAGTGTAGATATTTGGTTATAACAGTGTTGAATCAACAGTTTGTAAAAGAAAGTAACAGTGAATGCTGAAATATTAGGTGCTAGATGCTTCAAGTTAATGCTTGGCTTATTTTAACACAGTCTGTCCTTTCTCTCAAGCATCAGTTTGCGAAAGCCAGCAAACCCCTGTATTTATGTTTGCAGTGGTGGGCTCCTTTTCAGTTCTGCCTACAGAGCAGTCAAAAGGATCTGGCTTTAGTTGTAGTGGCACAAAATAGTATTTAAACTGGGCTGCTCTAAAGGAGCTCTTCTGGATCAAGTTGCCTGTAGTCAATATGAGGCACAGAGACACAATGGCCCCGGTCACATGGGCAGGAAACTGCAGAGGAGAAGCGTGGCTGTTTGCCCTGGGGCAAACTACTGCGCAGTTACGTGATCAGACCTCCTGTGGAGGTCCTGTGGAGGTACCGTGGAGGTTCCATGGCAAGGGAGAGGTGCCGATCACAAGACAAGCCGGCGCACAACGAAGAAGCGTGCGCCGCGGCAAACTTTTTTATTTTTGTGTGTACATGACAAATGCGCATGCTCCGTTGGGTGTGCATGCGCATCCACAGAGACCGGATGCCACCGGAAACGCGATCAGACGCCCGCCCTTGCCCCGCAGTTTCCGGAAACTAGTACCTCCAAGGTACTAGTTTTTTGCCACGCAGTTTCGGCTGGAAGCCTCGGTTGAGCCACGGGAGTGCTACGCTTCCCAGATGTGCTGGTGAGATCGCGCCCGGAAACTCTGGCTGTTTTCCGTCTCACTTGTGTGGCTTCTGTTACATGTGACCGCAGCCAATATATAGTATGACTATGACACAAAAGCAGGTTGAAATGGACAGATTCCATTTATCAAATGAAAACATAATACCTACGCACTTACCTTTCTCTGGAATCTGCTATGTGAAGAATGATCAATGTGAAAATCTAATGCACCATGAAATGTAATCATTGAAATATTTAATGGTACCATTAAAATAAACACTACATTAAAAATGGTTCAAAATGCATTTTAAAGGTTCCTAATATAAATTAAATACATGTACTAAAAAGGAAACAAATTTAACATTAGAGAATGCTATAAATAAAAATGGTTGATGCATTAGAGTACCTTTCAATATTAAAAAAGTCTTTTTTAAACAGTTGTGTTCAGACAATTTCACCAATATCTGGAATACTGTTGCCATTGGTGTTCTTTTTATAACTGATAGGTCTACATTAGATAATTCATAATTAAAATTTGGCCACAATGCGTAAGTCTGTAAAATATATGCAAGGTGTCCATAATGAAGTCCTGAAGTTTTATTTCCAAATAAAACTTCATAAAATGAGTCCTGGAGTTGGTAACACTGCACACTCTTGTTCAGTACCTTAAAAACATGTGCTTTTAAGCTGCTTAGATGTCCATTTTGCGAAGGCTCATTCTGCTGAAGGAATCTCTGGGGAGGAAAAGAACAATGAGATAAGCCACTAACTTACAAACCGTGAAGAATGAGAGTTGTGTTTTCCAAGAACGTTCTGCTATACAAAGACATTGTTTGGATAAAACAACTATGTGGTTGAATCATGTATTTAGTGCAATGACCCATCCTCTACAAAAAGCTCTGCTCTGGTGGAAAAGATGTGTTTCAACAGAGACTCCCCTACCACCAGAACAGATTCATATAATCCAAGCAACAGTTTTGTGTATGTGAACAAAACTTAGGGGGATCCTCAGGCTTGTATATTCTCCCTTTGTGCAGTAATCTAATTAAACTTTTGCTTTTACAGTAAATCATATTCCATCATCACATCTTAACACTTGTCCCTACAAACCAAAATTCCGAACTAGTTGAATTCTGGTTTTGTAGGGAAGACAAGAAACTATAGTTTATGATTTAGGCTACTGACCAAAAATGGAAGTCTTTCATTGGACCGCTATGCACAATGGGAGGATGGGAGGAGTACCAGCGCAAGGATCCTCTGTGTTCATTCAGGAGATGACAAAACATGGCTTACATTTAACACATACAAAAGAATACGTATCTGGTCTATGAAATTAACAATTCCTAAACAGTGCAGTCACCATGATAAGGGTCCACTGACTGGGTCTTGTGTGTGGTTAGTAGTTCTAAGAAATCAAGCAGCTGTGCCTCAGGTGGACGGTCAGTGCAGTATGCCTTGTTTTGCCAGAACAAAGAGTGGAATGTTCCATTGACTGTCTTGTGTTTTGTGCAGATTTCCTTCATTATTCAGTAATAACCATTTTAAGAAGCAAGAGGTATGATATAGCCAAAATTAAATCATATTAACGGACACTGATTTCAGTAGAAGCCAGTTTTTGTGCTCTTGTCACAGTCCCTTAGTGGCTACGTATATTTCTTCCAGGAAAAAAATAACAAATCTGTGAACATGAAAACCACCCTCTCGATATGAAGCTAAATTTAGCAAATTTACTCTCAAATTCCAACATAGTAGATTCTACACGGTAACTTTTTAAAAAAAACTAAATCTAAAGGAGTGGACTTTGTCCATAAAAGATGATGCTGGCCTAAGTGCCACAAGACTTCTGTTTATTTCTGAAATTAATGTCTTAAATCAGAATTTGAATTTCTGTGGGATATATCCACAGTATCCAGTCTTGTACATCCAGGCAACTGTTTTTTCAGGATTCATGTCTGATTGTCTAGTGGAATAACCTCCACTGAAAATGGTGGTGGTATCAGCTGGCCCGTCAGTCAAACAACACTCATTTGCCCCTGCTAAATCTATTGGGTATATATATATAAAAAGTTAATGCTAAATCACATTTCATGTTAAGCTTCTTAACATAAATTTGACCTGAAGTGCCTGTGGGCTGCACCAACTAGAAGCAGCACTGAAATCTTCTGTATAGCTGCAGCTGATCAGCCAAGATCCTGGCTCAATGTATCACCCGAAAGCCTCTATTGCTACCTATGTGTTGGCTGTTTTTCTGAAGGAGGATTGTGAAGTGTCAGGGCATCTGGGATCCAACGGGCACCATCTGGGCCATCTGTCAGTTACTGCATGCTGCATTTTGTCCATGGCAGAATGGAAAAGCCATCAACCTTTAGGATAGCTACATAATAAGGAAATTATAAGCATCTTAATTTACATTTCTCTCCCCTTACTAGTCTACCCCAGCAAGGTTTTGTTTTTCAAACTTTAACCAAGAGATGCTAAGATATATTAGAATGACCTGTGGCAAGAGGCAGGAAGCACAGCCTTGTATAATTGGGGTATTTTTCTATTGATCAAGGGCTGAAGTGCTTCTTTGAGACGATGATAATTTCTTTCAAGCTCCCGCTGATACTCTTTTTGGTCAGGGCCAATCAGGCTCTTGTTCTTCCGCAGAGCATCTTCACACCTAAAAAACAAAAGCCCTTTCAACACTGGACAAAGATAGCCTTTGTATTTCATCAGTTCCCCTTTGCTTATTCCTAAACTTCCTGGGCTACAACCCTAATTGTACTTTTCTGGAAGTACGTTCCATCAAGATCAATGAAATGTCCTTCCATGGCTATAGTGTCATGACATCATGCCTAAATTGACTTCTACGCAACAGGAACTCGGCTTGTCTGATCTTGGGTTGCCGGAGTCACGTTGGCAATCTTACTTGTTCAAAATTGTTCAAGAGCATTTTTAATTTAATTAATCCTAGGAAGGGTATTTCCAAATTGATATTTATATCACGTAGATCGTGCTCTCTTGACATTTTGTAAATTAAGTGCGGAGCACATTCTAAAACATCGTAAGTTCAGTGGTGTTCTGTTATCTTTTATTATGGAAAAGAAGTGTTCAGAGGATCTATGCTTACAATCCTGTTCATGCAAGTACAAGGGGGAGTCCCTGCACATATCGAGACCAACATGCACAATGGAGTCATGGCCAATGAGCACAGGAAGAACTGACATTATTGCTGCTCAATTAATACCAGTTATTTGGTAGGGTTTGTTCAGGAAAGATCTGAGAAAAACATTTCTGTCTGAATTATGTTTCCAAATTAAGTAGAACTGATCTGAGAAAACGGCAGGAGGCAGGAATCCTATCTGCTCTTACTTAGGAGTAAATCACATAGAACTCAGTGGCCCTTACTTCCAAGTAAACATAAACATGATTTGTGTGAAATAGTAAGAAAGAATATCAAGGTCATCTAATTCAATGTATTGCTTTAAAAGAAAAACTGAAACAGGACACTCACAAAGCTATGCACACATGTTTATAGCCTACCATTTTACAAACATTTTAGGACAATTGAAAAGACAAGTGGTTTAGTGACAGCACCACAATACCTTTTTGTGAAGTCTTTGAAGCAAAGGCGTAGCTTGTTATGGTGACGGAAGAGTTTTGGGTCATTAGGTATTTCAGACAAAAATACCTGTGCAACTTCTAGAGGTCCCTTATAACAGAACAAGATAGCGAGATTTTATGCGGGAGCTATGTAATACACACAAAAATATTAATTACATGCAACATTTCTTTGGACCACGTCTACAACAGAGTCCTGGAAGAATAGTGCCCTAAATGGATGAGTGTCAAATGGAAGTTTGGGAAATCGGCCTTGTTCTAAACAAAGAGGAATCATTGGATTTTCCAGGGAATGGAGAAAGTTATGGGGTGAAGATAAGGACAAGTTCAAATCTAACTCTTTTTATATCTACTCAAAGGCAGAGATGGCCATTGCCCAGGAGCTGTCCAAGTGGTTTAGTCCCTAGACTTTGCAGGCCCTTTTCTTCCCAAGATCACCCTCTGAGTTTCCACAGCAGAGTAGAGATCTGAACTTTGGTCTCTCAGATCCTAGTCCAACAGTCTTACCACAGCACCACACTGGCTTTTGTGGGGTCCTCGCTGTTGAACAGTAGCAATCAGACACACCTGGGTAAGTCATGCAAATTACGTGGTCATGCAGATTGTGTGGTAGGTTGTGGGCCTGGCCCCAGTGAGTCTTTATTCAAAGGCCAAAACAGCTCAGGAAAAGGCTTCTCCCCACCTTTTACGGACAGAAACCAAGGCTGGAAGGCTGTAATGCTGTTGCGGTTGCCTTGCAACAGCCACTGGGGGCACTCATTTCTTAAAGCTACAAATGCTGCTTCTATAATTTCGGGAAGCATTGTATTTGTTGGATTTTTTTACTATTCTGATATTTCTAAAAACCTGGGGCTTTCCTTAAATTAGTAGAAAGATCTGTCTTGTCTGTCCATGCCCCCACTTTAAGAATCCACAGATGGGGCCACATTGAGAATTAGGTATATTGATATTTGTAAAGCCATTTGTATACATTGGGTTGGTTACAAAATACCACAGGGGGACTTTCCTGCTTATTTAAAAGCATGTTGAACTTTTTTTGCTGCTAAACTTCTGTGATCAAGGGCAAATTTATCTGTACCTTACCTGATTTACTGTTGTGCCCACTGAACCCTGAAGCACCATTTGGAGCATCTTTGGATCTGCTGGATCTTGATGTGTTGCAAACGCCAGTTCTTGGGTTTTTTTCTGCATATCCTCAATGGCAACTTCAATTGGTGTCAAAATTATCTAAGGAGAGAATAGTCAGTAGTAACTCACGGGAAAAGCCTTACAGCAGCTTCAAGCAGATTAAATATGCATTCAGAGAACTCTTTCATCGGCTGTGGTGGAACGTGCTGTCAAGTTGCAGCCGACTTATGGAAACTCCATGGGGTTTTCAAGGCAAGAGAAGTTCAGAGGTGGTTTGCCACTGCCTGCCTCTGCGTGGCAACCCTGGACTTCCTTTGTAGTCTCCCATCTAAATACTAACCAGAGTCGATCCTGCTTAACTTCTGAAATCTGATGAGATCAGGCTAGCCTGGGACATCCAGGTCAGGATTACATTCAAGACAGTTCTAACTCAGGGGGCATTTGGTGGTGGGTAAACAGTTTTGGAGGATTTGGCTGCACATTTTTCATCTGTGTATTGATAATTTATTAATGGAACCCTGTTTTTGTGTCCTTGTGACTTGCTGCTGACTTGTAACCTGCCTTGAGGAAATGTCAGGATTGAAATATTGTAAATAAATAAATTTAATCTCTGAAATACCGAAAAATTATGTTTCAGTTCTTAGAGCAAAGCAGTCTCCACTTCACAGCTATGTATACAGCCATTCATAGGCTTGTTCTAAGAGTTCAAGAGTCATCTTACAGAAGCCAAACATTTTTCTGTGACCGAAAAATGGGACCTAAATTAATTTGTCAAAAAACAAAAAGTATAGTTCAAATATCATGTGAAGGCTCGACAAGGGCTGATTCTCTTGTTAGCTGAGAACTGCCTAAAAGGTTTCCCTTGCTCGAAAGCCAGTCGAATCCGACTCTAGGGTTGCGGTGCTCATCTCCGTTTCCAAGCCGAAGAGCCAGCGCTGTCCAAAGACATTTCCGTGGTCATGTGGCCGGCATGACTAGAGGCCGAGGCACACGGAACGCTTCCCACCGAAGTGGTACCTATTTATATACTTGCAATTTCTTGCTTTCGAACTGCTAGGCTGGCAGGAGCTGGGACCAGAGACGGGAGCTCACTCTGTCATGCAGCACTCGGGTCTCGAACTGCTGAACTACCAACCTTCCGGTCTGCAGTTCAGCGTCTTAACCACTTGAGCCACCGCAGCCCTACTGAAGTGCAAAAGACAAGCATGTTATCTGCTATATACTTCATATGTGATTCCTTACAGCAGGGCCGGGATGATGACACAACAAAGGCACTGGCCTGGGAAGGACAGCCACCAAACCAGCACATGTTGTGAAACACAAAGTTGACCTGTAATGAGCCAGTACTACAGATCAGTTTAAGCCACACAATTTTTTCCGGAACACCCCATTACATGTAATGAAGGAGAGACAATTTTGTAAACCAAGTTTCCATGTGAAGGAGGGCTCATGAGGAGTGCCTGCTTCATACTGTAGGCTACTTACTTGCATGGTGGAGGGGGCTCATATTGTTCTACCCAAATGCAATGCTGCTGACTGAATTATGAGCTGAGCTAAGAGCCACTACTGCTGGGCAAATTCTTCCCGTTATGATTGCCTCTGACTTTTATCCCTTACACTTTTCTCATTTTATCCTCTGTCAAAATCTCAATCGTAAACTACTTGGGGTGGAGAACTGTCTGTTTCATGTTATTAAGTAAAGTGTCATGTCCATCATGGCTATACAATTCATCATCATCAAAATGCTCAGTGAATTCTACAACTAGACCTATAAAGTTCCCCCTTTAAATTCCTCCAGGCTAATGAATTCAAAGCATATATATCAGGACAACAATTAATTAGCCACAAGAAGTTGTTTTTACATTAACAGTTTCACTCCGGTCTTGGCACTTCCCCATCTTACAGGGCAGCAGATGCTGGGGTCTCACCTCTTCTTTGTGAATGACATTTATCCTGGTTTTAATGTAAGGGAAAGCGTGTGATGTTGTTAAGATCGTCTTCCTCTTGAACTGCTCATGCAGCTCGCCGTGAGCTCTGCCATCCAAGGTGAAAGGTGTACAATACATGAATCGCCGCAAGTTGTAGTTTTTGTCAAAATAGGTTATCCTGTCCTTCATTTCATATGTATCAAAGTAGGGCTCCACGTAGGTTATTTGAATATAGGCCTGTGGTAGAAAAATGGACCAAGAAGAAAACTCCATGTGCTATTAACAAGCCAACCAATTACTGTTCATGGTCCTAACCCATTTTGGGCTCTTTTCCTGCTCTTTAGTGAAACAATGTCGTGCATTCCCTGATTCGTGATAGACAGAATCTTAGCTGAGGGAAGGGTCAAAGAGTGAGAACCGCACGAGGACATGGGGCCCTTATGGAAGAACCGAAGACCTAAGCAGGGGGGGCACAAGAGTGGGAGAAAGGCTGAATGTAACTTATAAGCAGCCTCTGTTCCTGAGGTGCTGACAGGTTTTCAAGGCTGCATTAGTAACATGAGAGTCTTTGGAACGAAGCTGTGTGTCATGCATCTACCATGAAAAGTGACACTTACACTCACTTTCTCAGCCACACACTATACTCATTGTGTCAGAACTTCTCCATCATTTGATGGTTGACTATCCTGAGCTTTTCCCCATCAACACTAGAAAGGGCAGAAATCACAAACATATTTCTTGTTCTTGGATAATATAACTTTACCTTAGCATTGGAAGCAGGAGGAGAAAGGAAAGCTAAGCAAGGGGAGGAGGAAGAGAGGGGGCAAAAGGGAGAGCAAGAAATAGATGGAGAAAACCGCCAGTGATTTTTACTGTACCGAGTGTGTCATATTTGCCACATCTCGCTTTGTCTCTCTGTTGGTAAAGAAACCTTTAGAATTGTCCACAGGCAGAGGCCTCGTGTAGTGAGGCTCCTCTGACACCATGAGTGTAATCTGTAATCGTGACCTTAGAAGAACTGATGTCAGTGTTGCTTTTGAATGGTTAGATGTATGTCATGTCACCACTCCAGTCTCTTAATGCCAAATGTTTCATTGCAGAAGGGAACATATCCACATATGATTTTCTCTTTTATATCTTCTAAAAGATACAGCTAAGGACAGTGTTACAAAGAAACAGGAAGCCTCAATTCTGCATAATAACACCAGTCTATAGATCAGAGTGCCTGGAATATGCCATTTACATCAAGCAGGTTTAGAGAGAGCCTTCACAGAAATGACTTTGGAAAAACATCAGCTTATATGTTCATTTATTTCCAGGGAAAGCTGGGAGAGAGGCCATACCAGATTTGTCAATCCAAACTGGATGCAAGATACAGCTTCAATTAACTTAAACTTGATTTAAGTTTCCTACCTTGTTGGCATCTAATTTGCATTTGTCAACAGGGTTAGAGTCCTTAATAACTTCAACAACATCTTCACCAAACCTTTCTCCATAGAATCCCTGAAAATGATAAAATCAGAAGCCAATATTTTGAATGAAAGCCATTAAATGAGTTAAATCCTATGAATTCAGAAGAGCTGCCTGCAACTCGGACTATAGTACAAACTGTGCTGGAAAAGTCTGCAGAATTGAGAAGAACTACTTGTCTGAGGTTATATCAGGGGGGGAAAGGAAATCTAGAAGCCCAGATATGAATACTGGATCATTTCATGGCATTTTGTTTCCTTAGGCAAAGAAAAATCCCCTCTTGAGCAATGTTCCCTCTAACCTGCAGAGCTTTGTGAGCAAAAATATTACTTTGTGAGCTACTGGCATTAAAGTTGTGAGCGGGCGAATTGACTACTGCATACATTAGTTTGCTCGGGAGCCCCATCCTTCCTGAGCAAACACAAAAATGTGTGAGCCGGAGGCTAAAAACCTGTGAGCTAGCTCACACTAACTCAGCTTAGAGGGAACACTGCTCTTGAGCCAATCACACCAATTGTATATGCTGTACAATAAAAAAGCAAACAGTGTGCAACAGAGTTTAAAGCATGTGCATCTTGCACTAAAACACAACTTTTTTTCTGAGTCTGTGAAAGACCACATTAAGTACCTATACATATCATGTTGTCCTCCTGCTAAGGCGACATTTCATCAATGCACTAATACAATTAGGAAAAGGCTTATAGGTGAGGAAGGCATGTTTGTCATTTTCCCTCTTTCTACGCAAATTGAGATGCTGATTAGATATTTATTAGGTGAAGCTTTCCCTACCATTCATCTACATCCGGAGAAATGCTTCACTTGCAACCTTCCATGTTTCAAGTTGCTTGCACAAAACCAGGATTAAGTTTAAGAAGGAGACAACCCTACTGTGAGGAATAATTCTTTGCAAATCATAAATTCATATTATGAATAATCCTAACGATAGTATGATTTCACTGTTCTTGATTTTAACGCCTCAGCACAGCTATCTACTTTTTGGTCTGCAAGTTAAGCTGGTTTAAAATAAATCCACTATCTGAATCCCTTGCAGTCCTTTCAATGTGTGACATTTTGATGTGAGACCATTCACTGTGAACTGAGGTATTTTAAAACAAAAAATTAATGTGGAAGAAGCAGAGCAATGTGAAGCCCCAAAGGTTTCATCTGCTCAGCAAGTATTAATTGTCTGGATAGTGATCTTTTTGAACTAGGGCTCAGCACTGGGACGTTTTTAATACTAGGGCTCACTCTTAACAAACTGAAAGTGATAAAACCAGTGGACAGCATCCGGACTAGAGGAGTACATTCCACGGGTGCCCTCATACTCAAGGGAGGAGTCCTCACACTAACAGACAGTGTCAGTCCATTCATGAAATGGTTCAGCCCTGTATTTCTGTGAATTAACACAACTGATTTCTGTGCCCACTGAACAAACACAACCATCTGAAAATAACGGGAGGAGCCACTTCAAGACATAGAAGTCTTTACATTGCTCATTTTAAAATAAAGAATTCCCACAGATCCCTGTATCTTATTTGTCTGTCTTGCATGGACACACTAACAGTACCTGACTGGACATCTTTTCAAAAAAATTCTCTCAGCCTTGGCTGAAATAATATCCTTTTTGTAACTGCATGTTATTGATACATAAAGGAGTGTTTATTGGAAATGTCTGGTTTTGGCATGCAACTGCTCTTTTAATTATAAAAAGGTGGGGAACTGAAGGACCCAAATCTATAAGATTATGGTTCTAAAATAAAGCTTTTCAAATCTGCACTTAAGCATCTGGTACTTGGGGTGTTGACTAAGCAGTCACAGAAAGTGGCCACCTACAAGCGGTGATCATGTGTGTTCAATTACATTACCTAATGTTTAATTTATATTTATGTTCCCCCAAGAGCACTATGATCAGGGAACTCCCATCTCCTGGAAGTTCCAGGTCCCCGAGAGACCAAGTTTGCCCTTACTAGGGCCAGGGCATTTTCGGTGGCGGCTCCTACCTGGTGGAATGAGCTCCCAGACGAGATCTGGGCCCTGCGGGACCTTATGCAGTTCCGCAGGGCCTGTAAGACGGAGCTCTTCCGCCAGGCGTTTGAGTAGGAACTGCCACCGCCACTATCTGCCACCACTACCCTACCAACGAGGTAGTGCACCATCTGCAGCCCTGTTAAAGGGGGACTGGCCCGGCCTGTCAGAACAGTGTAGCAGGAGACCACTTTGCCGAGAGAGCTGGCCATCAAATTTGGGTGGTTGTTCCGAACTTGGAAGATTAAATATAGGCTCAGCACTGTGTAAATAGGATGGTTTTATTGTGTTTTAAATATGTAAATAAATAAATAATAAATAAAAATTTAAGGCTAATTTCTCTGTGTGTTCCAAGCATCTGTGTACTTTGGAAATATACCAACCACACACTAAAATTTTCCAGCTAAGAAGAGCAGCCTGGCAGTCTCACGACAGTGTTGGATCCCCTGATTCCTCCTGCTGCAGATATCCTTCTCATGTAGTTTCGGGGATTTTTTCATTCAAAATAATGTCTAGTGCTCAGAGATTTGATGATAGGCTTGAACGTGCAGGCAAAACCTGGTGCCTTCGAAACCATGAGAGCAGTGACTAAACCGGATCTCTAGTGGTCAAGAGCAGAGACTACACTGCCTTGTATAACTTTTTGACTAAATATGCAGAAATGTAATAAAATATGCAAACTGAGATTAATACCTGTAACAGCTCTTAATCTGCATATTTTATACAAGTCAAAGGAACATATGAAACTACCTTATTCTGTGTCAGACCACTGCTCTATCTGGCTCATTACTGTCTACAGGATCTCAGGCAGAGAAAGATTTTCCTTCCATCATCTGTTACCTGAGATCCTTTAACCAGGACCAGGAACTGAACCTGGAACCCTCTGTGCTCATCCACAACTTTCCTTGGCTCAGAGTTACTATGGCCCAGGATGGTGTGATCTTTGCACATAATCCTATCTCACAGTATAAAAGAATGAGATAAATATGACAGACATATTTGTTTACAGGGAATACTGTGGCTTTAAGATCCATTTCCCACACTGACCAAGCATCATGTTTCTGTTGCGCATGACTGCACTGTCTATGTCAATGCTATAAAACTGAGAGGATGAGGCCCATCCTGTTTAATCTGAATCTTTCTGGAAGACAGAATATCAAAGAAGTAGGAAAGATCCATGTGATCTTATTGCGATGACTGCAGACTTTATATGAGTACATCACAGCTGCACAGGATGGCATTACAGGTGGCATGCACATCATAAAGTCCGGGTGTGTGAAGGGGGGCAGAGAAACAGCTTCCATGCAGATGTGTGCCTGTGTAAAGGGGACCGACAATTATAAGCAATTACGTACAGTTTTAATACTCTTGTAACTAGTTCTCAGCCTAATGTTCATGTTATAATTTATATTTTTGAACAACCAAAGCAAATGCATTTAGTTGCTTTTCTGCCCAAGTCCCAGCACTAATCAACTCGGACATAGCTGTGCAGGAGCCCTCAAAGGCTGATTTTCAAGGTGCTAGAGAATTGTGCTATGTGCGAGCTAGCACTTAGGTCAGGAAAGCTCCTCGGCTTTGGGAACAAGGGACATGAGCAATCCTTAAGGTTGTTAAACCAAGTTAGGTAAAACCCCACACTTGACTGAGCTAAAGTTTAGATGCTCTGTAAGGTCCCCCCCCCCCAGCCCATGGGTTCTTGAATGACATTTCAGGTACAGTGCAGCAATCTCACCTCTAGTCGATGAGAAATTTCAGCCAGTTTTGTTATTGCAGGCTCCTTGTAAACAAACTCTTGTTCATCCAGGTCTCCAAATTTTGTCCCATAGAAGCCAACACGGAAATATGTACCAAACATCCGCTTACCATCCTAGATGCAGGGAGGCAAATGACATTTCAGGACAAAGGCTCATTCCTGTGCAGTGACTATTTGTGTCCTGCTTTTACACGTAATGTCAAGCAAGAATAAACAAACCATCCCGAAGGACCAAACAAGTTACAACAACAAAAAGAAGAAGGAAAAAAAACCCCTCAATATAAAACCATACACATATGAGATTACAGGAAAGCAAGTATTAGTCATGCAATTGGGTCAGACTTGGTCATATTCAGTGGACATTTGCATTCCAGGAACAAGCTTAGCTGATAGCAGCAAAGAAGCTTAGCAGAGAAGTCAACAAGACTGCTTCTCTAGCCGTTGTTTGATTGATTTCAGTAGGGCTGCACAGATTTAGCATTAGCTAAATTGGTGCGGCTTGGACCAAGCAAAATTCTCAATTCCATCAGACATTTGGGCCAGATCAAAGTTTGTTATCATCAGAGAAGAATGCTGAGATACTAAGAGCATAGAATTGCTGTTATTTGCCAGACTGGAGTTCAAAGGCTGTACAAGATGACTTGGTTAAAAGAAAGTTTTATCATGGCTGCTGAAGAGACTGCACAGCGCTATGACATAATGTCATCCTTCCTCATGCTTTGTGCATGCAATGTAGTGTGAAGAGTGCCATAGCAACTCCACAGTTGTACAAATAATTTTACAGAGGTAAAAGTGGGATTAATTGGTAACATAAATGGAATTATCCACTTCCTGTAACTTCAGGACAATCTCTGAGATCACCTGTGCATGCACTCAAAAAACTGTGAAAGCCACTGGAATTCCTTATATTTCCAAGGGTCAGATTTGTAGATATTTCATATCATACCAATCTGTATGCAAATAAATTAATTGTTGTAGGAGTTTCTATCATGGAAGTCACACAACATCCATCTTTGAGCAGATTAGGCTTTTCAAGTGACGCATCAACTCTCCCAACAGCTTTCTTCTCTGAATCTGACTTTATATAAAATGCTTCAAACACATAATTTCTAGAGAGATGCCTAGATCTAAACTGCTGTCCGGTGGACACAGCTGCATGTTCATTGGTTTGCAAGTAGTTGCTTTCCTTTGGGATAGTGGTGGACCCAACAACACACCAAAGACTTGTACCAATAAAAGTGGAAAGCACATTCTTTTATGGAAGGGACCAATTAATTGAAAGATGGCAGCACACTGGCTGATGAAAGCCACAACATTTGTGGCTTCCTTAAAACCCTCCCAACACAAACAAAAGGATTCACACTGCATGCACATGTCATGAATATAATTTAGAAAAGGACTCCAAATGTTCACCTTTACTCTCATGGCCCAGTTATGCTACAAGCATTCCATGATTCATATTTATTTTCTGTATTTGATTTATCTATGCATCCCACCTTATCTTGAAAGTTCAGGACCAGTGACATATTTCAAAAGGTGGTTAATAGAAAACGGGGGGAAACCCATACCTGCCTCTATAGCTTCCTATTCTAGCCTGAACAGAAAAGAGATACTCAGGAAATTACCAGGTTTGGGGGATGGGAAAACCCCCGAGAGAAAAGAGTTCCATGGTGCAGGGCATCCGCAGATAATAGTTCCCTATGAGACTTTGCAATAGAGATGGAAGTTTTCCATCTGCACCAATGATAAAGGTGGAACAAAAACAAAGATGCAGGCTTCAAAATATGCATAGGTCAAGTTATGTGTAAGTTGTTCCTGAAATACTAATAAGTCAGTTCAGAGCCAAGACTACAGGATTAGCAACCAATTAGGCTCATCAGTATTTTTTCAATGATATCAAGAATAACGTACTAAGAATAACTCCAAGAATAATTTACTAAGGTGGTAAGTGAAGTCTCAGTTCTACATGCAGGTCAGCAATTAGTACAACTACAGGTCTGCGAACTTAAGTGGTCCTGAAGAAGCCAAGTCACTCCCCCTGTACAAAGCCAAAAGGGGAAGCTGAAGCCTGGTCAGTGAGTGATTCAGGGACCTGTGTCAGTGGTTGGTTTCTTAAGCAATTGCCAAAATCCTACAGTTCTAGACATTTTTGCCATATTGCCTTTGTGGAATGAAAGCACTGACAAGTCCAGCTTCCAACAGTTTCAACTGTCTTCTTCCACTCCAACTTCAAACTAAGTTGTAGCTGAACCCAAGCTGTAGAAAGGACCCAGCACACAAAGCAGTGAATTCCATCAAATGATCCATACAAACTGAAAATGGCTGACCTTCAAATTACTCAAGGTGCAACTCTCTAATCAAGCCAGTAGTCTCCCAAGTAATGCCATGCATTTTTGCCTGCACATTTTTAGTTTACAGACAGAGTGGTCAAGGAGACCTGGGTATGACTACTAAAGGAGACGTGGGTTTGAATACTATCCCTGTCATGGAGCCATGTCGAGTTGAGCCTTGTAGATTTGGGTTCTCTATCTTTACAACAGGAATCATAGAGACTTACTTCAGAGCCCCCCGCGTAATGAACAACCATGACCAAGTGGCAACGCATGGCTTATCATTTTCAGTGTTGTTTTCAAAATTTCACATAATTTGTGTTCAATAATATGGTGAACAGGTAGTCTTGTTATACCATTTGATCTTTTGTAGTATAGCTATTCCTGAAGTTCTCCTTTCTGAAGTAAATATTCTCAGGTTTCTCTCTCTTCTTTTAAGATAGTTACCTACTTAATCATGCCCAGATAGTTTAGTATCTTTTAAAATAACAGCTTAGCAACACTGAAACTGCTGTATCTAAAACAAACTGTGCATAATATATCATCTGTCTGTCTGTCTGTCTGTCTGTCTATCTGTCTGTCTGTCTATCTATCTATCAAATCGCTGTGCCAAAATCCTACAGTTCTACAAGTTTTCGTTGTGTGACTAAAATGATCTAATAATTATTTAATTATTTAATAATAATAACATTATTTAATACTAATTAAATACTGTCAAGTCACAACTAACACATGGTGACCCTTCATGGGGTTTTCAAGGTAAGAGATTAGCAGAGATGGTTTGCTATTCATTGTCTTCCTCTGGACTGCAACCCTGGCTTCAAGAACTAGGCTAGACTGGGCTATTCAGGCTGCTGAAATTATTTACATGTTGGAATTACATAATGTAAATGTTCCAAAATTGATATAAAGACCACATGACATAGAAGAGGAAGAGGAGATTGGATTTATACCTGTCATGATTTGGGCTGTGCCACCAGAGGCCTACTAGGCCCAGAGAACCTGGCTAGCAGTAGGGAAGGCTGGGCCTACAAACCCCAGAAGGCCTTGGGAAGTTTTAGCACTGATTTTGACCAATAGGGAAGAAGAGGGCTGGGAAATAAAAGAACTGGTGCAAGAGGGAAAGCTGTTCTTCTTCCCAGGGAACAGAGCCAGAAGAGAGGCTGCTGTGGGGAAGAAACCCTCATCCTGAGGGAAGGGTGAGTAGTCTAAGGCCACTTGAGATAGTGAGATAGGGACAATATATTTAGATGTCAGGGCATTTGATTTCTTTTCTTTTCACCCACTTACTGTTATTATTCTGCACCTTGTTTGTTTGACCTCCTTGTTGTACTTTGCCTGGTCCTCACGCCTATTATTCGGCCAAAGGGGAGGTCTGAAGGTCTTCGGAGGGTGCTCTGGGCCTTCTCAAGGGATCCTAAATCCAGAGTGGTGGCAGTGTCAGGTGACACCCCATCTGAGCTGTGACAATACCCTTCACTCGAAGTCTCAGAGTGGCTTAAAAACTCCTTTTCCTTCACATCTCCACAACAGACACCCTGTAAGGTAGGTGGGGCTGAGAGAGCTCTTACGAGAACTGCCCTTTAAAGGACAGCTCTTGTCAGAATTATGGCTTGCCCAAGGTCATCCAGCAGCTGCAAGTGGAGGAGTGGGGAATCAAACCCGGTTTTCCCAGATTAGAGTCCTCACACTCAATCAGTACACCAAATAGCAAAAATGAGTTCCTGTTTATTCACTAGATCCCCCTGGGGTAATATTTTAACATGTACAAGAGAATACATGTTTGAAAACATACAGTAAACATGAACTTGGGGACTTTGGTCAATCACAGCTCCTTGGCATGCTTTAACTTTATGTTTTCTAACATATATCTGTCCTTTATGTGAACTTGGTAGCTCTGGAAACAAACCATGAATGAAAATTAATCTGTCCTGGAATGTGTGAAGTGACCCTAAAGGATACACCAGATATTCCTTCTGGTCATTTTTCCAGCTCAAAATTATCTTTTCCAACTGGCTTTTCTCCTGCAAGGGTAAAATATATGGAACTCAATCTCTTCTCTCTCATGGGTGGAAACATATTTCAGTGGAACACAATTCTGAGCACACAATGGTAGGAAGGGAAAAGATTAAGCAGATACACACCCTCACCCACTGCTCTTCAGCTCTTGCATGCAGTATTCATGTGTACTTTTGAATAAAACAAGCCAAGGAAAAGAGACATTGGGTGATCTTAAATGTCTAGGACTAAACAAGTATGGGGTAATTTTAATTCAACAAAGAATACTGCATATTTCATTGCATATTGTTGGTGTTACTGAACTAGCAGATTAGATCCTAACATTTATTTCTAATGGGAGGAGGTAATTTTTTACTATTTTCCCCTCCTGATACAGGCCCAGTGCCGTTCCTGGAGGTCCCCTGAACCCTAGAAGCAATGTTTTGAGGATGTGGGACATTATTGTGAGAAGTGTGAAAGTTCTGTTCCGCAAGCTCTGCTTGTGGATTGTAGGATCCACTGTTGCCTCATCTTAAGAACTTGGAAATGGTCACATTAGAAATGTACATAAACAAACACTCTTCATAATTCTTTTTTAAAAATGTGAATTAACGCATTATTTCACTGAGAAGCACACCAAAGCCTATGTGTTAAACTGAATATAGCCAGATAAAAGCTAGATTTGTGTGGAGAAGGGCAAAAAAGCTGAAGCCCATTTCTCTTATGTAAAGCACAGACTTCAACCTACCAACTCTTGCTCTAAACACCAATACCATACATCTTTTG